CCCAACTTGAATTTGGGGTAAAAGGCTTAGTCATAGCAGGTTAGAGGAATAAATATTTGGGGCACACATTTGCTGCCAAGTAAAATTGCTCCTCAGACAAACAATAAATATTTGTAGCAGAATCTGGAGTCAGGCACTCGGGGTTTGAATCTCAAATAACTTAATTCTTTGATCTTTTGTTCAGGAGTTGCTGTGAAGAGTAACGTGCTCAATACCTATTAATTATTGTCAATATATTGTCATAGATGATTTAATATTATTGATAACGTAATATCATGGATAAAGATAATTTAGCATTACCATTCCCACTATATCTCTTCACTCTTAGTCTACTTCACCCACACACACACAATTTCCTGTTAACTATTAAGAAAAGTGATTAATTCATACCCATTTAACAAATTAAATATTAATGGCACTTACTTAAGGTTAACATTTATAGATCATGGTTCAGAGACATTATCTCACTTTGAACTTTCCCACAGCTCCGGAAGAAAAATGGGGTTATTATTATTCTTGTTTGAGAAAAAAAAAGAAAATTAAGGTTCATGGACGCTTAGTGACATGATCAGACTCTCACAGCTAATAATTAAGAGCAGAGATTAGCACTCGGAACTTTGCAAGGATAATATTAAACCATGATGCATTCCTTGCTGCTATGTATAGAAACTCAAGTAGTAAAGAAACTAAGGCCCGAAAAATGTTTTTCTCATAAGTTTCCATAATAGTCTCAAAACTTAGTCATATGCTAACATTGTAAAACACCAAATGGGTTGTTAAACACGTGCCGTATTCAGATACTGAATCCTGAAGGTCATCTATTGAATCCTGAAGGTCATCTTCATTGTTTACTCTGTTGTGATTATGTTATTTCATCACTGATGTCACAGTTTTTGCTTTAATAAAACCCTACGATGCCACACCAGAAGCAAAAACTTTTTCAGTATGTAAACAGCAGAGGTGGGAAGAGGGTGATGAAAAGACACTGTTTTCTTTAATAGAAGAGCTGCAGGGCCTTCCATACCTTGTTCATTATGTGGGGAGACAGGAACGCCATCCCTCAAACATTTGTGCTTGCCTCTGAGTGAAATGTTTTCCATTTTTACATATGGCCTTAGTATAAACAAGCAAATATTAGAACTCTAAGAATTTAGAGGAGATTGATAGCAACAAAGTATATTATTATATAAATTGGCTATGTTCTACCTGGGTAAGAACTCCAGGTCCCCGAGATAGAATGTGGCTTAGCTAGCAACCTTTGGGTATAGTTCACCAGTATACAAATGCTCAACAATTTCGCATGGATAAAGTATAATTCTCAAGTGGAGAAGGGAAACAGAGAAAGAGTATCTAACTCAAAGGTAAGGATGTTCATTTTAGTGGCAGACTTTTCGCTCAGTAGCCTTGAAACGGAGAGTGATCACTTCAGCCTCTTTTGTGGCCTCAGCTTCTGTCTTCAGATCAAGGGGGTGATAGGATGTGTTTACATTTTAGAATTGTTAATATAAGATGAGATAACAAAAGTTTGAGCGTCCAAAGACTGGATTTTCTTTTAGCTTTTTGGATTCTTTGTTTTGGGGTTTTTTGTTTGTTTATTTTTTAGCTGAAATGTAATGCATGTTCATTGTAAACAAGAAGAGGGGAAAAGGAGGAAGGAGGAAAACAAACTAGCAAATAAATAGAATCATACATCTCTATATTAGTGTGATGTTTTAGAATAATAATAGGTATTATTCTTAGCACAAGCAATGGCAAAGGCCAGATGACTATGGACAAATCACTTACTCTTACCCTTTCTTAATCCACAAAACAAGAGATCAAACTAGTTTATTTTTTGACAAAATGTCATATTCATACATTATTCTCCAGAGGAAGTCACCAGAAGCCTTTTAAAATGAAAATAAATATAGTCCTACATTTTATTAAAATGAATGTGAAGAATGAAGTGTCAAACCAGACATTCAGAAAGTAAATGTTTGGTGTTTTTCAATCAAAATTTATTAAAATGAGCAATTTGTGAAACATAAATATAACTCAATTAAAAAAAATGTCAATGAATTTAACGAATTGTAAGCTTGCTTACAAAAGCAAGCTTATAAGCAAGTCAGGATTCTGTCTTACAGTTACCTTAGCTAATAAAGAATCATTGGAATCAATGATTGGATTAGTGAAATTGCTTTGTTCAAATAAATTTCATGAATAAACAGCTGTGTGAATCATGACCCAAAAAAAGTGCTGTTAAAGAAAAACGTTATTGGAAAAATTCCCCTGGGTAAGTAGAGATTGAATTAATAATACTAATTGTTAATCCTGTTTTGATTCGATAAACATTTTTGAGCACCAGTTACATTTGAGGCAGGAAGCTGGATGGTAGAGCTAGGAAGACTCAGAAGCCAAAATTCACTGCTTTTCCAGTGGAAGAGGAAAAAATCCTAGATAGGTGTATCAATCAGTGTCCCAGGGGTCAAGGTATGAGCAGAGGATCTATAGACGTGGAAACCTAAGGCCTACTTAACTACAGTAGTCCTCCCTTATCTGCTGGGGGATACGTTTCTTTTTTTTTAAAGATCTTATTTATTTATTTGTTAGAGAGAGAGCGTGGGCAAGAGAGGGTGAGCGAGGGAGAGTGAGCAAGGGTACAAGCAGGGGGAGCTGCAGGCAGAGGGAGAAGCAGGCTCCCTGCTGAGCAACGAGCCTGATGCGGGACTCGATCCCAGGGCACTTGGGATCATGACCTGAGCCGAAGGCAGATGCTTAACCGACTGAGCCACCCACCCAGGCGTCCCTGGGGGACACGTTTCAAGATCTCCAGTGGATGCCTGTTGTGTTACACGTTAACAAAACCAAACTCTTCATAATACCCAGTGAGGAACAGAATATTGAAGAAAGTGTTTCCTCCTAAATGTAATACACAAGAGACACTAGGAATGTTTATGTGATGGGTGAGGACCAAGACCAGAGAAATAGGTTGTGGTATACGAGGTGGGGTTGAGACATAAGGAACCAAATTTTAAAAGAGATAACACAGGAGAGGTTTTAGAAGTGTTTCCTAACATGGCTTACAGTTCTGAATCCGGAGGTCTGGGGTGAGCCTGGAAATCTGCATTTTGTTTAATTATAAATGGATATATTCATAATGGACGCATTGGGCGGTATTCTGAAGCATCTGATGTCAAAAGTAAATGACACTTTGTAAGACCCTTTTTCTCTGCGCGGTAACTGACACCTTATGTATAATTTTGGAAGGCAAAATGGGAAGTTGCACTTCATTAACATCATTTCCTTGAGTAAACTCTTCAGTGTTTCCTCAAGACCTACAGATTTGTATCATATAGGTAATCACCTTTCTGCTTAAATAGAACTCTATTCTATAATATTATGAGTCTTGCTTTGATCATATCATCTTCTAACTGTAATTTTCCACAACAATGCCAGAACACATGTATCTGCTTCTTTGTTTTAACAGCTGCATACTATCCCATAGTAAGAGTATTCCATAATATATTTAACTAATCCTCTGTTGGTGAGTCGTTTTAATATTTCTAGGGTTTTTTTTTTTTTTTTTGCTGTAACATTTCTGAATGAACATCCCTGAGTAGACCTCTGTGCACATTTGTAACTATAGCTGAAATAGAACTTCCTATATGCAGTCTGTCACCAGACTTGGGCGATATTGTCTGAAAAATGATAATTATGTTTTTATTGAAACTCAGCAGGGTTTGGCAGCAGAGAGGACACTCAGGTTTTATAATTGCTTCTTTGGCAACCCATGGCTGCCACCAGAGCACATAGATCTCCCATGCAGGGATCTTGTCTTAATCATCACTGAATACCCAGCCTATAGCAAATGCCTAGTACAGAGAAGTTGCTCAGTAGGTATGTGAGGACAAAGTGAATGAGTAAATTCTCGAGCAGACTGAGGTTTGTTCATAGTCTTATCTCTGTGATTGACTTGATATGTGACTTTATATAAATTACTGACTCTTTCTGGGCTTCAGTTCCTTCTTCTGACAAACAAATATAAATCCTAGCCTGACTGCATCAAAGATTTGGCAGGAAGAACAGTAGAATAATAAATTTGGTAGTGACTTGAAAAGTAAAACATTCAGAAAATTCACATAATCATTGTCAATATGCATTTAATAAATAACTTCTTTTGCAGGGCATAGAATATTGGAAATGCTAGCTATGTGATGCTAACTCTTAAGTGTAAAATGGAGATCAGAGGAAAAAAATAGTCTTTGGGGGAAGGGTATTGGCTAATGAATTATTATTATCTTTGTTAGTATCGATATCGGTATCATTATGAAAAAGGCTTAAAGCTTCCAAGTGGAAAGGTGCTATTGACTATAAAAGTCACATACTCAATATTTTAAGTTTTATGCTTTCTTCCTCCCATCGGCTTATTAATTTTTATGTACATACCAGAAACCTCTTGATGTTTTGGAAAGTCTTAGGTGTAACTTTAGTTCATTCAGTTTAATTTCATCAATAGTATACTCAGGGGCGCCTGGGTAACTCAGTTAAGCACCCGACTCTTGATTTCGGCTCGAGCTCAGGGTCATGAGATCGAGCTCCACATCAGGCTTTGCGCTCAACCCAGGGTCTGCTTGAGATTCTCTCTCTTCTCTTCCTCTGCCCTTCTCCCCCCCACTCATGTTCTCTCTAAATAAATAAATAAAATCTTTAAAAAACTTTAAAAACTAGTGTACTCAGTTAAATTGACTAATGATACACAGACAGATATTCATATCTAGGTATGGACATATTCAAAATAGTATCAGATTTCAAATACACGGCCAGCCTGAAAGGATTTTTTGAACCCTCCAGTTAATGTCTTTGTCTTTTATGTGGGGAATTGGGGCAGATAGGCACAATAAACATAGAGGGGAAGGAATGAATATTTTGGAGAAAAAACTGTGGTTCAAAAGGAAGAAAGCTGATATATCTTAACGCAATGGTTATATTATATTTGTTAATATTATTCTGTTTCCCTGCAGGTTTGAATGTGTATTTGGCTACTTGGCTACTGATTAGAGAACACAAAATGAATAACTCAACAAACTCCTCTAACAGTGGCCTGGCTCTGACCAGTCCTTATAAGACATTTGAAGTGGTGTTTATTGTCCTTGTGGCTGGATCCCTCAGTTTGGTGACCATCATTGGGAACATTCTGGTCATGGTCTCCATTAAAGTCAACCGCCACCTCCAGACCGTCAACAATTACTTTTTGTTCAGCTTGGCCTGTGCTGACCTCATCATTGGTGTTTTCTCCATGAACTTGTACACCCTCTACACTGTGATTGGCTACTGGCCTTTGGGACCTGTGGTATGTGACCTTTGGCTCGCCCTGGACTATGTGGTCAGCAATGCATCAGTGATGAATCTGCTCATTATCAGCTTTGACAGGTACTTCTGTGTCACAAAACCGCTCACCTACCCAGTCAAGCGGACCACGAAAATGGCAGGTATGATGATTGCAGCTGCCTGGGTCCTCTCCTTTATCCTCTGGGCCCCGGCCATTCTCTTCTGGCAGTTCATCGTAGGGGTGAGGACTGTGGAGGATGGGGAATGCTACATTCAGTTTTTCTCCAACGCTGCTGTCACCTTCGGTACTGCCATTGCAGCCTTCTATTTGCCTGTGATCATCATGACCGTGTTATACTGGCACATATCCCGAGCCAGCAAGAGCAGGATAAAGAAGGACAAGAAGGAGCCCGTGGCCAACCAAGACCCGGTTTCTCCCAGTCTGGTACAGGGCAGGATAGTGAAGCCAAACAACAACAACATGGCCGGCAGTGACGATGGCCTAGAGCACAACAAAATCCAGAATGGCAAAGCCCCCAGGGATGCGGTGACCGAAAACTGTGTCCAGGGAGAGGAGAAAGAGAGCTCCAACGATTCCACCTCAGTCAGTGCCGTCGCCTCTAACATGAGAGATGATGAAGTCACCCAGGATGAGAACACAGTGTCCACTTCCCTGGGCCATTCCAAAGATGAGAACTCTAAGCAAACATGCATCAGAATTGTCACCAAGACCCAAAAAGGTGACTCGTGTACCCCAACTAATACCACCGTGGAGCTCGTTGGTTCTGCAGGTCAGAACGGAGATGAAAAGCAGAATATCGTAGCTCGCAAGATTGTGAAGATGACGAAGCAGCCCGCCAAAAAGAAGCCTCCTCCCTCCCGGGAGAAGAAAGTGACCAGGACAATCTTGGCTATTCTGTTGGCTTTCATCATCACTTGGGCCCCATACAATGTCATGGTGCTCATTAACACCTTCTGTGCACCCTGCATCCCCAACACAGTGTGGACAATTGGTTATTGGCTCTGCTACATCAACAGCACGATCAACCCCGCGTGCTATGCACTTTGTAACGCCACCTTCAAGAAGACCTTTAAACATCTTCTCATGTGCCATTATAAGAACATAGGCGCTACGAGGTAAAACATCTTTGTAGAGAAGGCAGGTGGTGAGGGGAGCTTGGGAAAAAGAAAAGGGATAAAAGAGCTCCCAGTTTTAAAAAATCTCTGCCATTGCACTTTATAGTCTTATTATGGAATGTGCAATTAAGGAGCCTAACAGTGACACTTTTGTCACGCTGATGGCTCCGGTTTGAGAAACCTGCACCTTATAAACCCTGTCAGTTTAGGAGCAATGAGACCCTGAAAAAGACATGTTGGAGTTGTGGATTGAAGGGACAATCTACGCTTTCTTGTACTCTCTTGAAGAAGGGCTTCTGAATCTACAATTTTATCTCTGCACAAGAAGAATAACCTCGCTCCTTTTTTTTTGTTGTTGTTGTTGTTGTTGTTCCTGTGTGTCCATACGAGGATGAAATGCCACGGTTACAAGCTAACATGGAGACTTAAACATAAGGAAATAGACATCACACAATGGAGAAGTGAAGAAAGAGAATCAAAACAGGATGTAGAAATGGTCTCCAGAGTGTTAAGCATATATTATTCTTTTGTTACAGTTTTATTTGGAGAATTGCAACATAATGCTCCTTCCCCTTTACCTTTCCCTTTTCCCACCATCAAAAGAAAGCAAACAAACAAAAACCCTAACTAGATCAGATCGTTATTTTTCTCATTATACCATCGGCTTTTGTACTTCCCTGTTGTACGTTGTGTAAGGGCAAAAATCTGCAGGACTTCCAGTAAATACAACCAGACACAGCCTTGAAAGTGGGCCTTTCACCCCTGCCCACTGTGTCGTTTGCATTCTTTGGGGGGTATAAAAGCCTATAAACATTTAGCTGGCTTATGATCCTTTGGGTGAAATGTTTTCACCAGCCTGGTTTTCTCCTAAACGAGCTTCTTATGTGAACGGAATAGCCTACCTAATACATAAACATGCTTGAGAAACCAAAGTCATTTTTTAAACTGAGGTTTGGTCAAATTAAGGAGTAGTCATTTTTAGTTGGAGAAAGTTTACCGAGGCCAGATGAATTTTGCAAAAGGCAGATAGAAGGCTGAGAGAATTCTGTTTCAACGGGAATTTGCCTGGCCCGTGTATGAAATGCAAACTTGAAAAACATGACCTTCTGGCCTTTGTCAGCAGGACGAAGCTGCTTTACTCATTCGGAATCCTAAGTAGGATTAACGTACTCTCGTGGCACCAGTGACTTCTGCGTCAGTCCCAAGGGAATAAGACCTTCTCTTCAATGCCTGCTAGCGAATGATACTCAATTCATAGTCCAGTGAGGTTGTTTATAGCCATCCTGTGTCCCAGTGGAGAAGGAAAAAGTTCATTAAAAAACATTTCCTGAAACCACCTGTTCCATCTTCCTCAAATTGTCAATTCTCCCTAAAATTTCTTAACTTCAAAATTCTGTCCATAGAAATATAGTAATCTTTGTGGCAGACATGTAGTGGATAAGTAACGGAGGCCAAGTAAGATCAGCAAAAGCTGAAGAAAAATGTAGGTAGCGGTGCCTGTGTCACTTCTCATTATTTCTTTAATTCTAGGCCATCAAAAGTCAGATCAGGAACTATTACCCAAACGGTGGCTTTCTATAGAATCTTGTCCATGTAGAGACTTTTTATTTGGTACCCCTGATAAATATATCATTGTATTGATTCACATTTAGCTATTTTTAATCCCTCAGCTTTTCTTACTATATGAGCTATAGTCTTAAAATCAGATTTTCTGAAGATGGCCCAATCAATAGAAATCAAACTTATAAAACTCACTTCAAATTTCCTATTTTGCATTTTAGATTTATGGGCCTTATGATATCTTGACCAGTAATATCAATGTAAGTAGCATGATTAATTTTTCAGTATTAAACCTTAGCACTTTAGAGCTGTTTTGTGTGACTTGCCTCATCGATGGCCTCTCAACAATTTTGAAAGTTAAAAAAAAAGCACAAGGTAAACAACAACAAAGAAGAACAATTAGTAAGAAGCAAATTGCCAACAATAGTTGTATGTAACTTACCCTTTATAAAAATAACTTCCTGTTTGAATAACTATAGTCATTTCCCCTGAATCTCCTAGGTATAAACATACAGCATCAGTTTATACAGATTCCTTTACTCTACAGTTACTTCAATGTAAATGTTTACTATTTTAAATCCACATTTACTTTGATTTTATTTCTTCAAATCAGTGAATCAGTTGAATGGAAGGGACATCAAGCCAATGGGCTGTTCGGTTTGCTATAAATGGAACAATTGACCGGCTGAATATTTCACTTATTAACTTGTTGTACTATTATGATGTAGATTCAACTTTAGTTGGGATGAACTCTTTGGATTCAAGGATTAAGGAGTCTGGATTTGGGTCTTTTCTGGTCCACTCTAACAATTCAGCTCACCATGAATCAAACAGCCTCTTGCTCTTCATTGCCATTACATCCTCCCTTCCTTCCTTCTGTTCTTGATCTTCGCCATAGCCACCACAACCTTGTTGAAAGAGAAACCATCATGCATTACAGCAAGGACGTGAATATAGACTGACACATCATGGAAGCTTTGTCAACTGGAATCAGAGAAATGGGAAGAATACTGAATGTAGTAGATGATTAGAAAGACACAGATTATATTCAAAGGTTTGCATTAACTGTTGCTGGGTTTGTCTATTTCAGTGGCTCTCATACAGGAACTATTTTGCTCCCCCGGGGACATTTAACAATGTGTGGAGACATTTTTGGTGGTCACAGCTTGGGAGAGAGCTCCTGGAATCTGACAGATAGAGGCCAGGGAGGCTGCTAAGCCGCTTACAGTGCACAAGATAGCCTCCCCCTCACACACACAACTAAGAATTACTTGGCTCAAAGTGTCAATAGTGCCAAAGTCGAGAGACCATGGTCTATTTTAAGGAATTCTAGAGCTTACTTTGTATACATGGGAAAATAATCCTGTATCACTATTAGAATATCAATGCAAATTGCTCACCTGTTTCAGAAAGGTAATGCTCACCAATTGTGTATCAGACACACTGTCATCTGTGAGTCTGGTGTATTTGTAAATCACAGATTGGGAACACGGGGGACATCGACATATCCAGAATTAACAGACCATGCACATAGCACATTGTCTCCAACATCTTCATGTCCCATTATGATTGCCACAGAGTCCACTCAATTGAAGTTGCTGGTAATTAGCCATTAAAATGATTGCAGTTGATATGGTCAGTTTCTATTGGAGCTGCCACTTTTCCTTTCAAAAACATTGAGAGCATCTTTCAGAAACAATCTGATTCATCTCCTTTATTTTCACTGGAAAGGTGAATAACTGTCAAGAATTTCTTCTCTCCTCATAGCAATAATGTAAATACTCCAGAGTGGTCTTATAAGAAAAGGAGATTAAGAATGTCAAAAAGCCAGTTCATTTCTTAAAAAAAAGAAAAGAAATGATTCCTCTTTTACCAGTTCACATTAATTTAACATCAGCTCCCAAGTGTTAGGACAAAGTCACCAATATAGGAAGTCACATGGGATAAGCTTTCCCATTTGAATGTGGAAACTGGAGGTCCCACATACTTCTGCTCCTTATCCATTCACTGCTTTTTTGATCCCGGAGATCTGACATTGGGGAAGACTGAAATTCAAAATGATGGCAATATATACTTAGAAATGCAATCTACTTTTATTTTCTCCTACTTAGTTCACTGGTAGTTGCCTTTCCCCAGTTTGATGATATACCTTTCAACAACCACAGCACTGGTGTTACAAATAGATTAGGGAAGCACCCAAAGCTGGATGAATTGTGCAAAGTGTATTTTCAGCATGTACATACGATACCATGCCTCTTAAATATGCTTCTTTTAAAAGGGTGCACGCTGCAGCATGAACTGTGTGCATATTTAATGTATCTTTCTGGAATATGCTGTATGCTTAATATACATATTCTATAAATAAAGTAATGAACTGTATCATAGAAATACATATTTCTGTATGCAAATAAATATGTTATACACAAAATCTTAATATGCAATATGGTATATGTTGCTTCAGAGAGTAACAAGACTAGATTTTATATGCCCATTTTTTTTAAGGTAGTACTTGCTTTTGAAGGAAGAGGTTTAAGAACAGCCAAAATCCTACCCATATTACTATGAAACTGTTTTATAATCTTTGAAAGCATGGCACTGATTTTAAGTATCTCTTGGAGGAATATATTAATAAATCTTTGCTGGTGTCAGCTCACGTGACAAGAATGCTCTTTGCTCCCGTGCTCCCGACTGGCCTGTGACTAGAATCTTTCTGGCTGTTAGTGTTCCCACAGCTGTGTTGATCTCACGTCTGATTGCCTGATGAGATTGCAACCAATTCATTGACATACAGCTTTGCTCTCCTCCAAATTAACTGATTTTTGTCAAATAAAAAATAATCATACAAGGAAAAAAGGATGACCTTCAGAATGTTTTTCATTCTGAGAAGCAAAGTAAAAACGAAAAAAGTACAGCACTGTATTTTATAAACCATTCTTTTTAGTTTGAGTCCAATACAGCATCCCATACGTTAAATGCCAGAAATTTCTAGTGTAGTATATTGCAGGTTTCTCCAAGAAATGATGAAATAGGTGGTTTGTTTCTGAATGCCCTCCATTTTCTCCATAGCACTTCTCTTCCTCTGCTTGTTGCCCACTCAACTACCCACATTCCCCGGAACATTTTCTTTGGTCATTAGTATGAGTTCCTAGTTAACAAATATTGTTATGATTTTTGTTGATACGGGGCATGCCATCCCAAGAGATACTTGCATTTTAATAAAAAAGCAGAAACACTAAACAGCTCCAAGATCCCTATTAGTCTTTAGTTACCAAGGTAGTCAGTGGGAAAAATAATTTTCAGTGAATTCTAGTTTTCTATGCAAATTTTATAACATGCTTCACTGTCTGTCCACTTCCTAAATTTTACCTGTATGTCACAATCCACCCTTGTGCGTTGTTATCTCTTATCTGGACCAGAATCATTTCTAGAAAAAACAACTGAAAAAAAAAACAATTGAGTTTTCTATCAGTTCTCTATTAGTTTCTTATTGGTCTAGTGAAATGTTCTCATTTCATTTTTTAGAAGTTGACTGAATACTCTATCAATGGATTGCCAAATGTTATTCCTGACTAGGTGGCTTTAAATACTGAGACAGGAGAAACATCTTGCCATCATAAAGGAAGAATTTTCCATGTTATAACACATACCAGTCTTTTTCAATCAAAAATTGAAGAAACAGAATGTGGTAAGTTGTGGAATATAGATATTTATTAAATAAGTGACATCCTATACAATCTGTTCTTTGGCTTCCTAAACACACACACAGTAAGTCATGGGAAATTACAGAGGCAAAAAAAGCATCCATCTTCTGAATTTGCACCACTTACCTAGCAGCTCATCCTAATCCTTAAACTATACCTTTACTGGAAATGTGCATATCTTCAGAGATTTTATTGAAGGATTTTTTTAGAATGAGTATCCTTTTTGAAGTCATCATTATAAGATAAGGGACAGACGGGGTTAGTGAATAAATTGTGTCTGTGTCCAGGAAGAATTACAATGGATTACTGAGGTGGCCAGTTCAAATCTGGATAATAGTTGAACTAGTTGTACAAAAAGACAAACATTGGGGTGCCTAGGTGGCTCAGTCGTTAAGCGTCTGCCTTTGGCTCAGGTCCTGGGATCGAGCCCCGCATCGGGCTGCCTGCTCGGTGGGAAGCCTGCTTCTCTCTCTCCCACTCCCCCTGCTTGTGTTCCCTCTCTC